AATGATCTTCTCTTTCTTCTGTTAGCAAACAATTTAGTAAATAAATAAAACCTGAAGATTGATGGTATTACAACAACAAAGTATCCATTACAGTTACAGCAGCAGAGAACAGCAGTAAAAAGGATGTAGCATATTTCCGTCTATTTTTGTAGTTAAAGATTTTATTTTCTCATAGGCTCTGTGATTATAACAGACCACTTTTTGACAGAGTTTTCTTTCACATGTTTTCCATGGACTAAATCGTGCTCCTCCTGCTCAAATAATTCCATTCCTGTACAGGAGGTATCCCGTTCCTGTGTGCGCAGCATCTCCCCATGCACAGGGGAACAGGGTGGGGAGAAGACACGGCAGTCTTACTTACTATGTGAGCACTGGAGTGTGGATTTTTCTTGTCTTTATCTGCAGTATGAATCTGAAAAAAACTTCACCTGAGCCATTATATATTTAAAAACTTATATTTTACCATCATCTGGTAGTAACCACGGTTGCCTTTAAAGTATGTACAGATCATTTAAATGTACTAGCTTAAGTATAGTTTTCTTTCAAAGGATTGTATCTGGCAGTAGGAAGTAAAATGAACATTTTTAGATTGAATTATGATTAGCAAGCAATGGAAAAGGAAGCCTGTTGTATATGTTTGTTTAAATGTGAGAGAAATTGGAAAACACAATTTCAAAATAATTAAAAAATGTTTATCGGTGGCACTTTTGGGAAAATGTGCCACTGGGAATGAGACCTGCAGGAGCCTTCAGAATCAAAAGAAATTAGCATATGCATCCTATGTAGCTCTGATCCTTTTTTATATTATTCCTATAGTGTTTGTTTATAAAACTAGATTCTAGATTATAAAGTTTATCTACTGTCCTTCCAAAACCACAGATAGTTAAAAATCAACAAAAATTAGTTGCAAGGAGGTTATAATTTTGTTTAAAATTATTTAATAATTTGCTGTCAGGGTAGTATAATCTTGAAAAAAACCCTGTAAAACAGTCAGACCAAAAATAGAGAAATGGTGGAATTCCCACACATTCAGACTAGAAAAAAAATGCTGACTTATTTTCCATTTTCAGAGTTCTTCATTCCAACTTTCTCTTTCAAAATCATAAACAGATTGACTGTGTAACATAGAAAGTTAATATTATCTTAACTTGTAAGTCTTGTGACTTTGTCTGGGCATTCTACAATTGTACTCACTGTAGGGATACTCCCTACCAATGAATCTATCAAGAACAGATGGATGTAGGACTTCACTGAAAAAACGCTGAGCATCTTCAGCATCATTTACGGTTAATGAGAGATGAAGGTCGTTAACCTTTTTACAAATCTAGCTCTCATGGAGTGGCAGAAATATTCACAAAGAGTTAGTAGATAACCTGAGATGAATAAATTAGTCAAGAGCTGTTTCTGTATACCAGCTGGTTAAATATTTTTGTTATTTCAGTTTGATGCCACCATCACCAAGGTGGATGTAATACACACTGTTTGGATTAGGAAGTAAAATGAAACATACCCCAAAACAAGTAGGTTACAATATATTTTTTAAGGGTTGAAGGAAAACTACATGGCAATGGTTTATATAATACAGTGAATTTTCTGCTAAACAGTACATAAAAGCTAGCTTGCTGTAATTTTTTTTTCGCTAATGTATACTCAGAAGGACTAATAATAGGCCTTATGAGTCACAAGCATTCATTAAGTAAGCCACTAGAGTTTTAAAAACATAACAGTTGAGATCTAGTCTGTTTGAAGTGAACAAGTAAATTAATGTTTTAAAAAAATAGTGACTCTTTTAAAAACATTATGATAATATGCTTCTAAATATTTAAGATCCTTTATTCTACGCAAACCCAGCATGTTAATTACTAGATTAGCAAAAATGCCTTTCAATACCAAACGTGAACCCATCTTCTAGATTTTGAAACGCATTTGGAATGCTTGACTCCCTCATGGTGGTCCCAAGGGGAAATGTGTTAGTCTGCCCCGTGTTTACTCAAGAAGGCACAGCTTAGGCATAGCATTTGGTTTTCAGTGGAGAGCGGCTTTTTACTTCGGTTATCCAGCTGGCTTGATATGGGTGCAATTAAATCAAATGATTTGTTCAAGACCATTAAGGGAATCAGTGACTCTACTGGGAGAAGAAAGTTGGACTGGGAAAACTGAAAATACTAGTTCCCATCACAGAAAAATTTCTCGGTAGCATTTAAGTAAATTAGAGGGGCAACTTATTGTATTTCACAGTCATCTGCACAAACCACCAGCATTGTATAGACTAAATTTGCATCAGCAGAGAAATGTAGATGGAGAAGGAAAACTGAATGAACAAAAAATTTACGCTTTCACATGATAGATATCTAAACAGACATACCAGATAAAGAACAGAGAAATTTAAATGAAAATTTGTCTCCCAAAGCTTTTTGGTTTTATGGGTATCAGTTTTAGGGGGAAAGTTTGGCTGTATAATGAGTCTTTCCTGCTTGTCTCTAGTAATTTATTTACCAACGTATATGAACTGTAATTCTAGGATTTTTCTAATTTATGTGTGTTCAAAGTTCCTTTGTTGTTTTTTTTTGCTTAATTATATTTTCTTTTTCCCATTTTTTAACAACCAAGACATGACAATGCTATGGTGAGACTATCATGTTGGTATGATACCGCCACTTTCATCAGTAAGATCAGATTACTGCAAAAGACTTTTGCCTGTTGCATTCGTTGATTACTGATAAGAGTAACAAGTTGTCATCTTCTATGATAACAGAAGGCAATTACATATGTACAGTGGCTCATAACTGGCATAAAAGCATTTGGTGGTAATGGAAGAGTGAAATTTAGCATTTTCTAATGTTGTTTCAGAGGCAGGACATGGTGCTCCAGCAAGGACAAAGACTACTGCAATTGCTTTCTACCCTCTCCTTCCTTCCAAACCCTGCCCCACTTCTCCAGGCCTTTCATTCCCTCCAACATCAATTTTTCAGCAGTTTTCTGTCTTTATAGACTCTTCATTTCAGCCTCAGTCTCTT